GAGATATGAAGTCACATGGTATTGAATGCTTTAACTCATAAGAATCAAGATAACCTAGGTTCTTACATCCTCAAAGACATGGTTTTAAAATCAAACAAAGAAACCGATTTTGAAAGACTCACTTTCATGCTTTAATCCAAAAGAATCAAGCATGTTTAAGTGGTCACAATTTCATGAATCCATAAGCATCAAAGGCACGAAATGTTCATCATTCCAAAAGAATGAAAACCATCCAAGATGACTTATAATTCATTATACCAAAACAGTTTCAAACCAAAACCAACTTCATTCTCTCTCCCTCCCTCAAGCATTGGCCTTTACAGATTTCACAATCTTCCATCTATGCTTAACAAGAGGAGAAATGGGTAGAGGGTTGAAACATTGGATAATCAAAATTTTGGAAAACGTTTTCATAAAGAGTTTTAAAACAAAATTCTTTAAACCACCTTCAGTCTCTCTCCCTCCCTCAAGCATTGGCCTCTACAGACTTTAAATCTTTTATCCAAGCTTTAAAATGAGAGAAAATGAGGAGATGGAACTGAGGCGTTTTGAGAGGAAAAACAAAAGAGAAGCGAGTTCATCCCAAGAGAGCAACATGTCTCTGATACCATATTAGAATTTGTGAGTGTTTTTCTAACATAACAAGAAACAACAATCAACTTGTGATTGTGTTCTTCATTAACTAACTAAGGAACTCACTCTCAACAAGAAAAGCGACAACCAACTTGTGGTTGAATCAACACAACGAACCCAGATAGAACCGAATTTACTAGAGAGGAAATCGATAAAGGAGGGAACCTCTAGTTTGAGACTAATCCAAGACTTAGTAACACAACACTTATAGTTTGTGTACTTAAGATAAAGAGGATTTAGAATCAGTAATCTAGAGTTAAGAAGAGAATAAAGAAGAGTTTAGTGTTTGTTTTAGTAAAGATTAACAAACAATGGTCTGCCATTAAGGCAGATCCAAACCGCATAAACCTCTCTCTCTATATTGCTAGCATTTGATTTTGCACAAGTAAAGAAGAAGAGAGCTATCCGAATTTAATAACCCTACTTGTCTTTCTTATTGATTTTTCTGTCTCAAATACAAGAGAGAACATCCCTTTATATAGGCAAGAGTGGTAAATTCGAATTTTAAATAAAGGAGATAAGAATAAGGTTGATGATAAAGTGTCCTTTGTCCTTTGTCTTTTATTAAAGATAAGGTCGATGATAAGGTGTCATTTGTCCTTTCTCCTTTGTTGATGATAAGATTGATGATAAGGTTGATGATCAGATCCAATAACGGCTTTGTGTGACCGTATGTATGACATGTACGACCATGTACGACATTCGTACGAATCCATACAGACATACGAATGTTCGAATGTTTCTCGGGATACTCTCTTGATCATGCCTTGAC